GATATTATGTCAAAATCAGTTTGAGTTATGTCATAATATGAGCCACGATTGAGACAGAAAATTACTCTAAATATTTTCTCATTTGATTCATCTTACTACAATACACATTTTTTTTATCACATCGWCCATTTAAATACAGATAAATAAAAATTACATATCATGATATCTGGTATACATAACAATTTAAAATACCAACAGCCTAAGTAAAAAATATACACTTTACTTATACTTACTTATTTTTAATTTTTAATTTATTTGTAACTATATTAATCAAATATTTGTCAATCAATATTGCTTTGGTATTTAATACTAATCAACATTCAAACACCATGAAAATAAATTTAAACAAAATATTAACCATTAAATCTATGTAGGACGTAGGTATTCAAAAAAAAAAATATAAATATATTTTTATTTTGTTACAAGTTATACACAAATTAATAAATATATTTTGGATTGCTACCTATTCGAGGGATATTAAATTTATTTTTTAAATTCTACTCAACTTTATCTCTTCCACCATGACCAGTTGCTTTATGACTTTCTACGATTTTTCAAAATTTCTTCGATTTAGATAGTTTTCATATGATACAACATAAATAATATTTTCRGTTTTAGTTTTTGGTTTTAAAATAATATGAACATTTCCTACTTCAATCAGATCATATTTACGACATAAATAATATTGGTTTTGAGTTTTAGTTTTACCTGGATTCAATTTCGCATCATTGATTTCATTTAAAGCTTTATCTTAGTCTGCCTGACTCCGCGGGTTTTTAGATTCTGAACGAAGTGATGAATGTATTGACTTTACAATGATGTGTGTGTTTTTTTTTTTTGTGTGTGTCTGTGGTGTACAGCATAACTAGTTGAAATAATGCTTCAATTTCAAACGTCTAGGCGGATAGTGAAATTTCATAAGCATTAAATTCTTTGACTATATGGCCTAGGCATTTAATAAAATGCCTGATTTGACTATATGCCAACGACATATATGTAAACCATGAAAACATTCTATAATATATTATGTACTTATTTATAAATTTGCAGTACAAAATTGTAATGAAAATCCTTCGAGGTAGCTAAAAAAACAATTTTTATGCTGTATTTAATATTTTTAATCTAATTACATTATTAACTGTTAGGAAATTGTTCTACCTTAAAGAATTATGTTCAAAAACATTGCACAACATATAAGTATTAGGTACTTATTGCATTACTGAAATATTATAGTTTCTAGTCTGTATRTTAGGTTTCCACGCATTATGGCCACAACAATTAATTTCTTGATACATAATGAAACGCACAAAATACATTAAAACGATTAAACATTTCTAGAACAATCAAACTGGATAGATTAAACATTTTTGAATTCTACTGCAGTGTTGTGTATTGTGCGTATCTGCAATATACWATAATATTATAAAACACATATTTTATTTTTTATCCAATTGAAGTGATTTGAATACAATTTATGTGTATTAAACTAACTACGACTAAGGACAAAACATATACACGCGTACCTATGAATAAAAATAGTGAAATTTTCATAATATTCTTATTACGAAGTCTCGTGGATAACAAAATAATTTGCAATACAAAAAAATTCGTTAAAAATTATTAAATAGATTTGGTTTGGTCCTTAAAAATATTTCATCAAATTGTACGTTTTGTTAAATGGAAGTTCGTGGAACCCATATACGTACGTATGTTTAATAAACATATTGCTAATGTTATAATTTSTACGTCTTAAATACGTATAGAATACTCATAAAAAACACAATTTTATGTTGTTGTAGTTACTACTTACTATAATATGTATTGTTAGTGCCTTGGCTCAGAATATTATTAAACTCTTTGTAAATAGTAAATATATAATAATAACAATAACAATAACAATAACAATATACAGTAGTTGTATTATATATAGCAGTATTGTAGTGGTAGTTGTAGTACAGTAATAGATGTATTCAGACTCGTCGTGATAACGCATCGTTAGGTATGGTACACTGGTATGAAAGGCAGTTTGAAACGTTTTAAGTATTTGTGGAAATCACGAAGCATTAACGTGTAGACAGTTTTGCTTTCGTTGCGGGCCCGACGAAGAGACCTACCTCTGATGTACTATACTCGTATACTGTCCGCGCGGTGTAGTCGTAGCCGTGACTCGTATAGGTGAGAGCACACACAGACATCGAGTCATATCAAAAAGTCGAGACGGAGAGCCATTTAAATATAATGAGATTCTAATGTGCTCTCGTGTTTATCTAAATTATACCGAAAACGGCATCATAATGGCTGCAAAAGGAATACATTATAATATTTAAAATAAACAATATATACGTATACATAAACGCGTGTGCACACTGTATACACACATTATATTATAATATAACACGAGCATCCGACCGACACCCGGATAAACGTGTTCGRCTGAAAGGTAAAATTCATAGAGCAAACAACCGTAATATTTTATTTGTGAATCACTGACGCGTGGTTCTCGACAACGACAGCATGGTATTCGAGAAACATCGTTAACGGCAGCGGCCGCGACACAACATTATCGTTTGTCTGAACTTTATACATATGTACGAATATTTTATATTATATATTATGTATAAAAGGTGATTTCCCCTAAACACGACCCACCCTTTTTTTCCTTCAGTAGTGCAGACCATTGAAAATCTAATTTTTGAAATTCTTAATATCTTTTGCACTAGCTATTGGTACTTTCCTCTAATACTTTTAAATACTGTATTGGGTGTATTTTTACTTGAAAATCAAATACTTTTGAAAATTCAAACGCAAAATGTCAGTTGTTACATGTTTTTTTTTTTAATTGTTACACTATTTTATTTATAATATTTTTTCGTTCATAAAAATTGATAACCCATATTTCCTACTTCCGATGTCTGGTTTGTTTGTGAATGTGATTATTAAAAAACATTAATATTTCATTAAGAATTGTTTACTATTTAACTATATACATACCTGTCAACTTAATATTAAAGAATTGCTTTAATATAACAAGTTTTATTTATTTTGATTTTTCAKTGTACATTTAAGGAAATTGTACGAATATTTCTAATAACACCTAAAAATAAATTGTGACATGACAACTTTAAATTAGTAAAAACAAAATTTGAATTTAAATTAATTAATTAGATAATATTAGTTTGGTGAATTTGCAAGTATATATTTACTTTATTCAAATACATTCCAAGTATTTKTATTTGTATCTTAAATACTTTTTCTTAAAAGTATTTGAAATACTTTCTGAATGGATGTATTTGTACTTGTATTTAAATACAATTTCAAAAGTATCTTTTAAAATACTGATATTTTCTATATTTGTGCAAGACCATTTTAATAGACTGTATTATTCTCCTACAAATAATCTCAAGCCTTTTAAAACATGGTTTTATATGACGTGTGCCTTTATTGTATAATATGCAAATTCCAAAAATTATTATAAATCATCGTAAAACAAAAATGGAAAAACGTACTTGATGAATCAACCTTGTATGTAATATATTCCTAACGGGTTCAATAATTCTGAAAAACCGTRAGCCACGTTCAGAGGATTATTTTTGAACACGTTATGGGCCGTTGCYGGTCCATGATGACTGACAATAAACCGTGTAAATCGTTCCACTACCAAAACGTCTTTACATCTGCTTTGACGCGAACATTACTTTCAAACAAAATAATATTAAGTCGTAATCATTTAGTTTTATTTCTTGTTCTTTTTCCTTTAATGCATTTGATACAGTTTTACGTTTTTATCACACTACTTTTGTCTTGTTTTTATTTGATTTTTTCGCATCCAACATGAAACAGCGAATAGGACCGCAAAGATCCACTTGGAGAGACTTGGTTGACGAATTATGGTTTGTTTTGAAATGTCAGGGRTCCAGACAGCGAACAGTTTTGACACACAGATGCGAGCAGTGCCATCCAAAAGTCAGAGTAAGTTTACAATGTTATTATATAACTGATTCGTAACAGATCACATCCACATTTTGCATATTATGCTGGGTCAGATTAAGGGGTTGTGAGGGTCCCAGCGCCTATACAATATAGTGACTTAGTAAATTAAGTAAATTAAACAATGAATAAGTCAACTATTTTAAAAATTATGTTTTACGTTTTTATTTTATTTAAATCTTTGGAGAAATTTACTGCTGAACAGCGAATGTACTTTTTTTTTTTGGTTGAGGGAGCTCATAAGTTTTTTTTTTTTGAGACCCCTGTCCATCCTCCCTAAATCTAGTCCTTGCCATACCTTTCATAATATGAAATAGTATATTATTATTAATATTAAAATGTAATATTATGTTATTTAGACAGCAGAACGACGTTCTAGGCGAGATTTTATAGAAGCCAGCAGACTATAATACGACGTTAATTATAGTTGCCATAACGCATATATTGTATACGTTATCATTGTCACGTAAATATTGTAGTGTTAGCCTAAAAAATAACATTTCAATATTCAATTTTCAATTAGTATTTACTTTCTATTAGATTAATGCACATTTTAGTACTTGTTAACCAGTAATATAATATTGTTAGTGTAACATAATAATATGTATTATTTGTTTATGAATTATTTTTTTTTCTACACTTAATCGTAAATAATATAATATATTAAATTAAATTAAATCAGCCTTAAATAATTAAATTTATTTATTTATGTATTTTGTTTTTTTTATTAAATAAGTCCTTGGTGACTACGGTCATAAGTTGTATTGAATTGTTAACACAATATTACATATATTTATTTATCATATTTTAAAACGAGTGAACGTTGATTTAGATAGTGACAATAATAAACAATGGAAAAACAACTAAAATAAATTGTTAATTTCTACACTGGATAATGTTCACAAAATATCCATTTACTTTCTTTTTTTAAAAATTAATGTAGTGTCGGTGCAATTCCGTGGCCGCGGAGTAGGCACCGGTGGTAAGTGCCCCAGTYCAGTAAACCACATTTTTAATTTTATGAACAATGTTGCCAAAGATAAGAGATAACAGTTAACTAGTATTATAGTTCTATAAAAACTGGAGAAAAGAAAATTAAGTATCCCCATAACAAAATCTTCTGTTATTCAGTACTGTACCGATAATCGATATACACATAATTTATAGAACGCAATTTATAATAATATAAGATTACAAGTGATTATTTTAATTACGATTTAATGAAAATAGTATCACCATATACATATCATATAGAATAAGGTCTGATGGTATAWAATATAATATTTAAGAAAGACATTGTTGATGTCTAGAAGGAATATCATATTATACTCAAGACTCATAAAGAATAGCTTCACTAGAAATGAATTTGTAAAAAAAATACTACATCTTAGTCTTCTGACTTTATAGTATTTTAGCTCTTGTATAATATAGTGAAACTAGACGATTTAATTATTTTAAATTTAACTTTCAGTCAAATATAAATTGGTTTTTAATTCGATTTGTTGGATAAAAAGGCTCGTGGCGCAATAGTGAAGCTCCTCTAATATAATAACCAGATTTACCCCCTCCCTCTACTTACCGACCGTAATAATAATTGTGCACTACGAAATGATTAAAAAATGTTAGTGTAAAATGTTTTTTTTTYCCCATAAAACCTCATTTTAGATTCTGAACGAAGTGATGAATGTATTGATTTTACAATGTGTGTTTTTTTTAAATTTAACGATTTAAAAATCTTATAACTTTTTTTTACTGTACAAAAACTAATACCAAATGAATGTAGTGATATTATTTGATTAACAATTAAATCGGAATCCCRAGAGTCCAAGACCATTAATAAACAAGGATTTGAAAGAAAAAATTTATGAAGATCCAACTACATCAAATTGTTTGTTTATTTATTATTTTTAGATAGTGATCGGGGTGATAAACGTATTGATTTTACAATGATGTGTGTTTTTTTTTTGTTTTTGTGTCTGTGTACAGCATAACTATTTGAAATAATGCTTCAATTTCAAACTTTGGGGGTGGTTTCCGATGTAAAAATGAATATCCTTGGTGCATTATAGAGGTCAATAACATTTTCCAATAGTTTTCAAAAAAATCGAGAAAAAAAAAATGACAGAAAAACGCGAATTTTTACGCAAAACCAGTTTTCGACCAGATCGATTTTTTTATATGGTTGTAATTCAAAAACTAATCACTGTAAATACTTGAAATTTTCACCAAATGTTTATGTTGTTTATGTTAGCGTTATCTATATGCAGTTTAATTTTAACAAATGTTTGACTTTTTATGAGATATTTATAAACAACTGAAATTTTCAATTTTTCTGTAAATTTTCTTTTGAAGTGTCGATAAAAATTTTTTGGCCCAATCAAAATACTTGAAAATTTAATACAAAGTTCCTCATAAGTTATTCTTATAGTGATTAAAAAATTATAAGAATACATAGGCACGATTTTTTTTTATAAGCATTTAAAATTCAAATTTTGACTAAATACGTAAAAATTACGGCAATGTTCAAATTATCTTAGATAGAAATTCATAAAAGCTTTTCCTTTTGTATCTAAGATTTGAAAATTTAATACAAGGCTCTTAAAATATTTTTACAATAGCAGTTGAATAATAAAAGAAATGCATAGTCACATTTTTTTTACAAGCATTTAAATTTAAATTTTGACAACATAATACGTAAAAATAACGAAAATTCGCAAATTATTTTAAGCTAGATATTCATATAAAAAAATTTCTTATTAAATCTAAGATTTGAAAATTTTTAATAATCTATAATATATCCTATACAGACAAACCGTCTCCGTTCAGAATCGTTTTTCGTATACAATGATACCTATCGTTGCATTCAAATTTAGCCAACCCTAGTCAAAGGTCTACCCCACCCCCCAATGTACAGAAGAGCGATACCCACTTRCCCGCTTTTTTATATTTTKATATCCTAATAATACGATTGCGGTAAATCGTGATAAATAAATAACAGTGAAAATTTCGATATATTTATAGCAATATAATACTATAAATACATAATATTATACTGTTGGCCGAAGTTAATTTTAATATGTATTCGATGGCATAATATCTATGCTCAATCGTGATGTATATATAAAATAAATACTGTCAGTAGTTATAGTATTTCATAGTAAATAGTTATGTGACACGTGAGGCGAATAACAACTTAGGTTAAATGTAGTCTGGAATAATGTATCGTTCGGGTTTCATATTTTGTAAGCGAAAATGTTATAGAAAAATGTTTATCCTAAAAAGGCAAATAGAAGTTTTATAAATGTTCACTTTTAAAAGTAACACAAAGAAAAGAATTCAAAAATAAAACCAGTCTTAATACCTTTACAAATAACTACTCAGTACTCTATTTAAACAATAATCCTTGTATCCCAATGGCCTATGTCACCGAGGGTAAATTTTGTTAGTAAAGATAAAAAAAAAAAATAAAGCCCATCTCCCCCGCGTAGGTATATTATCCAAAAATTTTACACGTTGTCATAATAATATGTCAATATGTCACATAGTTATTTTAATTTACTCCGTTTCACAGCCTGCGCATCATAAGGATTAAATTAATCGTATCATCGTAGACGTCTATCAAATAAAACATCACATTGAGATAACAATTAACAATATAACATATTTTGTACACGATAAAATATTCAAACAATAAAAAAAATATAACTTACCATTATTATTGTATTATATAATAATAATATGTTTATTTGTTTATTTGGCTCAACACATCGAGAACTCACTTCTCGCCAGTCGCCAGCCCATTGTGTATTCGGTCGAATTGACAAAATGCTTTCTGCCAATATTTTACGTGTGGTTGACTGAATTGCATGTGTACATATATATGAACTATATAAATTATATTTTTAGTTTTGTGTACAATAAACTTTATGATTTTCTAAAAGTTCGTTATTATATTTCACCGAAAACTTGATAGCCAAAAGCGTTCTTGCAAATTCAATTTGGGATTTCAATTTTCACGATTAAATATATAAAACACTTTTATGCAACACAAACAAATAATAATAATATATTACGTTCTGATTGTTGAGGGAAAAATAATTAGGTGCGAATGCTATACGTTAACGTGGTGTTGAGTATGTGTGTAGAGAAAGAGAATTTAATATATGTATATACATAACGTATATTATACATAATATAAGTGTACTGTGTAGTTTAAAACTTTAAATACGATGATCGAAAATACAAATAAGTGGTAAATAAGCAATTCCGTATTATTTTTTTGTGGGGGGGAGAACTAGTACCTGGTAATTTAATCGTAATACTGTTTATGGTAGGTATTAAAGGTCATTGGTTCTCAAAATAAAATATAACCTAACCTAACCTACAATATAAATCATAGTTTTAAAATTAAAACAAAAAATCATTTGACTTCGGTTATTATAATTTTTTAACTTTATTAATCAAATTTATTATTTTAACTAACTAGCACTAAACATAAATGTTTTCGTTCAAATTGCCGATCTTTAAAATATTATGCTATCTGTTACGGGCTTGAATGTAACTATATTGATTTTAATTACYGAGTTCATATTTATAACGATATTGATATATAATTTTATTTATATCGAAATAATCAATATAAATATCGTTAACAATTAACTATCRAATTTAATTGATATTATTTTAGTTTTATTAATATGATACKTATTAATTCTATAAAAAAAAACGTGTGCAAGCTTATAGATAGCAAGTATTTTATATAAATTATATGTACCACAGATTATTCGAAAAATATATTTATGTACAAAGTTTACTAAAATCTACAAAACACAATATCCAAACAAGTTAAAAGAAACAAAATATCGATTTACATCTTATTTATTTATATGTAGATATACTGGAAACTTAWTAGTTACGATTAGATCACAAAAATATTGTTAAAACTTGTACATTTTTTATCAAGTGCGACCAATTACAATTTGTTTCATTACAAAAAATATTATATAATATTTTTTTTTTTAAATAATTTAGGGCATATAATAAATTATATAATTGGGTATCATTCGAATACAAGTATATATATATATGTGGCTTGATCTTTAGCTGGTTCGTAGATGGAAATAACAAGAAATACATTTACATAAATTCTGACTACTCTCAACAATACCAATTAATTATTATTGAAACATACAATGTAAAATACTTTGAAATTCACAGAAAATCATGATCGAAAATCACTATAGCTACAATATTATATCTTTCTAGTAATTATTTTTTTTTTTTTTTTTTTTTTATTGTTGGCAGTAAAATAAGTAGGATGTAATTATTGGTAAGAAGTTCAAAGTTAATGAGGGATAAATAATTAAATTCCGAAATAGTCTATCGAAATTTATTTAATGAACTAATTCATATGGATAACCATAATAATTCACAACACTTCAACAGGCATAAGTCTGGCAATTATACTCAAGTATTCCAATTGCATAATCATAGCAGCATTTATACTGCTGAATACATAGCTCTTTTAAAAGGAGTCCAAACAACTGTTA